GTGCTTTCAACTTTATCAGGTGGTCACCATAACATAACGGAGTTTGTGTTAACATGTTAAAATTACCCTCCAATTATTCAATAACTATACATTTTATCTATATTATGCACTACTGCAGCTGGGGGCTCTCTGCAGCGGCACGCAACTTTTCAAAAAGAAAGGACAGGTTGCAGACAGCTGTTGTGTGAAGCGTAATTGTAGCTAAATGGCTACATATTATAATAATATTAACAATTATATTTGTATAATTATAATAAGACAAATATGCCTGATACTTTCACAGTCAGCCCAGGCCTACATGCTTGCAGCTATTAATGATTCAGCAGTAAGAATCACGTGAGAGTGGGGAAAATAAGTGAGTGAGTAAGATACCACTCTCATGTCTGAACCGACGGCTAGTCTGGCTCTGTCCAGGTGAAAAAAAGTCCACCTACCAGCATTCTAAACCCCCCCCCCCCAAAAAAAAACATAAAAACAAAACATGTAAAGTCATCACTTCTTGGCGGGGTTCAGTAACTTCTCTATAACTTTAGTTACTTTGACAGAGTTAGGCTAGCTGTTTCCCCCCTGTTTCCAATCTTTATGCTAAGCTAAACAAATGGGCTAACAATTTACTGTACAGACATGGAGTGGGATCCATCTTCTTAATCAAAATTTGAGCAAGAAAGCAAATAAGTATTATATTTCATGTCACAACCAATCTCTAAATGTTTTAAGGTATCTTTTTGCTTCTATACAAAACAACATTTTTAATTAAATTAAAATCTTTCACCTTTACTACATGGGACTTGAACAGTTTGTACTTTCCTTGAATCCACCTAACTTATCATTTTTACTGCTCTGTTTCTGTAGTGTATATGGTTGATTTATAGGTTTCTATGAGTTTCCCTACACCTCCACACATTCTCTCTTCTCTTTCCTCTCTTTCTCTGATGCCATGCCCTCTATCGAACAAAAGTCCTTTGCTGTCCACACATCCCTCTCTTTCACCCTATACATGTTTATAATTCCACTTTCCTCCTCATGCTCAGCTTCCTCAATCTCTTTTCCTTCCTCACTCCCCCCCCCCCCCCCCCCCCCCCATTTCCCTCCTCTTCCTCCTGTCCCTTTGCCCTCTATTGAATAAAATTCCTCTGCTCTTCCTCTTCTTAGATACTGTCACTGATCATGCACTGTGACTGAGGAGGGCCGTGAAACTGAATCAGAGGAGTCATTAGTGCTCCTCTGAGGTGTGAAGCAGACGGAGCCCCATGTCCCAAGACAGCCTTTGTTTGGCACGTGGAAAAGGACAGATGCATAATGATGAATATTACAGTGGCTATTAGCACATCCATGGACATTTGAAGTATGTAGCATAACATACTGCATAATACACAAATATGCTCTAGCTCAAGCTCAATGTGCTTTATTGGCTTGAATGTTTCAGTTAAACAACGTTGCCAAAGTGGTTTGCAAAAAAAAATGTACGTTTTAATATGACATAACAAGATACTATATAGTTTACTATATAGTAATCAACCCGTTCTCACTCCCAAGTCGTCACATATGGACACATGGTCAAGAGCCATAGTCGTCAGTTTGTGAAGCACTGGTCTCTTTACCGTCACAGTTCAACGAATTGGGGGAAGACCTGTAGCTTCGGTTTTTGACATTAAAACCCTGACTTTGAACCAGGTAATAACGCGCCATTTCAAAATGCTGATGTTTTGAAACGCTAGCCTTTTATTTTGAAAGTGTAACGGGACGTTGCATATTTATTGTTGCTACCTTTACCGGAAGTTGGATATTTGTTGTTGCTAAGCATTGCTAATTTGACCGCAGAGCCCTAAACTGTAGTAACACTCTATACACTTGCTCTTACTCATCAAGGTATTGTGTGTTAATGTGATGTTGAAGCAGGTTTATACTAATGTCACTGCCACTTACCAATTCTGTCGTCCTTTCTGCCTCCAGCAGTTTTAATTTTCTGTGAGAAAGTATATTGTTGCCTCAGGTGGTGTTATTTGAGTGAGCGTTGTTTGGGGCTGAAGACTACAAATTTGAAAATGAAAGACAAAATTTGGGTGTGGAGGAAAAAAGAGGTGAGTTTACAAGATCTCTGTTGCCGACTCCTCATCTCTGCTTGAGGCTACATTATAAATAAATTATTATAAATTTTTTTATAAATGTACCATCCAAATCTAGACATATTGTATATCATGAACTGCACAACACTGAACATTGTTGCAAAGCCATGTTGTACTGTAACAACATGACTGTGATGTTACTCTGTGTAATGTCAGAGTACGGTCTAGACCTGCTCTATATGAAAAGCGCTATGATATAACTGTTGTAGTGAATTGGCGCTACATAAATGAATAGAATTGAATTGAAACACATGCAATGCTGCATCATTCTTGCGTTGTGCTACTACTGTAGATTTTTTACAAATGTCAATGGGATTTTGAAACTCTTAATAAATGAATACACGTTATTAATACATATCATTATACAAATATTTATAAATCCTAAATTTTCAGCATTCATCCTTGGCCACAACTGTCTTAATAGGCAATGGGCATTTCATGTGTTGTTCTGACATGTGTCTTTAAATGACCTGAATTATTTTACAACGCTTGTGGAATCAAACGTGGCTAAAGAGCTGGGCACACTGTAGGAGCTCTCTCTGACCCAGTTTCAGTGCAGCGTTTTAAAGTCCCATGATGGTTTAAATAAATAAATTTTCAGCATAAAAATTCATCAATTTGAAAGAATATAATCAACAGAAAATATCCACAGCTTCAGTGAAAGAATGTCATGATAGCAGCAATCCAAAACCCCTTTTCTGCTGAGCCCTCGTTGTGCCCTCCACACACAGCGGGCTGGACTTCTTCCTGAAGGTGATCAGATGAGTGCTTAACAAGCTTGAGGTCAAACTGAAAATGCTTCACTGTGAAAGCCAGACGGGGTTTGGGACTCACTGTTAGAAGACACAAACAGGCAGTGTCGCCCTCCACCCCCCTCCCATGTTACACAAAGCAAATGTACTAAATGAAAACAAAGTGCCCTTGGCTGGGAAACAAAACAACCGAGACAAAGAAAGCCTCTTGTTTCAAGAAAAAAATAACCTTAAAGGGAAATGGTGATTTCAACACTGGCATATGTTATGGCTGTCAGATAATCCATTTAATAAATTCCTTTTGAGAAAATATAATTGATTCGCTTTTAGTCGCTATTTCAATCACAGGCATGTGTTAAATCAGTGCCACAGATTGGTGAACACAAAGACCCATTCATGGTCAAGCAGACAGACCCAACGTCCACCCTTATATAAGAGGAGGAAGTGGAGGCCTTCCTTGCTGGGGAATGGAAAAAAAGCTTTATTTTATATCCTCACTGAAATACCACAAAGATAAAGCATAATCTTCACAAGTGCATTCATAGGAAAGTTTTAATCAGGCCAACCTTTCTGATTTACTTCAAACCTTTCAGATTATATATACTTTAGTTAGCAATGTGTGCGTGTGTTATTCAATAACAGGCGCATTTTAAATTCTTTTTTGAAAATCTTTAAATGAGAAGCATTTAGCAACAGTTTATTCTGCTGCGTTCTGACTCCTTATATCATTTCTCTGTTCTTTTTTTTTTGACGAAAAGGTAAACATGTAAGATCTGACATTCTGACAGTTTTCTACAATTCTTCTAACACATGTATTTAACCAATCCTTTTTATGTATTTGCCTTTTTACAACAATTAACCGATAAGTCAGTAGACAGAAAACTTACTGGCAAATATATAGAAAATTGAGCAATTTCTTTTTAAAGCAAAAATGACTAAGATTACCTGGTTCCAGCTCCTCTATTGTGAGGATCTTTTCTTTGTCATATGATAGAAAACTGAATATTTTAGGTTCCTATTTCCTGACATTTCATTGTGCCACAGTCACAGGATGTCATTTGCTGTATCTGCTCGGTTATTAATCTCAAGAGGTCTTACGTAATAAGAGGTTGTCAGAGTGCAGATCCAAGAAAAGCCAGTTTCACCTGGGTTCAAGGTAAGGCTTGCATCCTTACTTGCATTGGCAATCATTGCACATAGGTATGTTGTAGCCTGTAGCTGATGCAGCCAAAAGGCTCAGGGGAAATTAAATCCCCCAGACCTAAAAATGTATAATTATAGCAGTACTATATGTACCGTGAAAATAGACCAAATATGGAATCAACAAATAAGAAATAGTTGGCAGATGAATAAATTTGTCAACATTTGTAGCAATATATGAGTACATCTTACAGCCAAAAGGAATTCATGAACAAATCAGATCTTTTGTGACCGTGGACGGGATGAGATCATCTTGGGAGTTAACAGCTCCCAGGAGGACCAACCAGATTTGCCAAGCCAGTGGGTCCTCACATGTCTGAAAACTCCAAAGCAAATGTTCAGGTAGGAACAATCTGAAGTTTTTGATGGTCAACCACATATCTGAAATCTCAAAACTTGATCTGGTGACGTAACACGCGGAGCAAAAATGTCAAGAATTGAGTCTCGCTCATATCCCTGGCCCTCGCCCTTGGTTGGAGTGAAATGCATTCTTTGATACTTACCTAACCCAAGTCAACACAAGTCTTCAAAGTATCTTCAATAAAACTGGCAGAACAAGAACATCTTGGGACTTTGGACTGTACTTGGCTTAATGAACGACTAATGGCGTTTCACAGGTCCGCACAAGAACACAGGCTGAGAGAGACCATCTTTCAGCGTGTGCATCAAACAGTTGGCATTTAATCTTATGTTTCCAAGAAAAAAACACTTGGATGCCTAACCCCATCAATCACAAACAAAGGGTAAAGGTTCCATCTTTGATCCTGCATGGTTCCAGGTCTCCACCTTGCTCAGGTGACCTTAAGTAACATACCTACCACTAGCTGGGGTCAGTGTCTTCAGTGCGCCAGACAGGCAGGAAAATGGCAAGAAAGAAAAAACACATGTAGTCACTTGAGGTTATGACACTAAAGATCTTGTTGTGGTGGCAGCCTGACTGTTTATTTCTCCTTTTTGCTTGTGATTGTGTTTCCCCCTGGTGTTTTGGCCTGCCTGTTTGTGTCTCCTGCTTTCCCCCTGCGTGTGCTCTCCCTCCCTCTCTCTCTCCCTCCCTCCCTCCTCTCTCTCCCTTCCTCTCTCTCTCCCTCCCTCTCTCTCTCCCTCCGCTCCTGAGCCCAGCCAACGAGCCGCACCTGCACCTCGTCAGCCTCCTCCTCTGCCTGCCACACCTGCCAGCGATCAGCCTCATCTCCGACAGCACTTCTACCCGGGTTCTCCAGTCGACCCCTGCTTGATCGTCGTTGCTCCTTACCCGGTGCCACTTCACCGCTCAAGCTCTCACGTATTCTGCGTCATTCTGTTTCCCCGTGCTTTGTCTCGGCTGTGTCTAACCCCGTCTGTCTGTCTCCCCTCCAGGTCAACTCGCCTCCGTCCTCTGCTCCGTCAGCTGGGCTCGCCACCCTGCCCTCTCCCCTCGGACCTCTTCCATGGCGTCCTCCTGTGCCTCCTTGCTTCCTCGGTCCCCAGTGCCCCCGGCTCCCTTGTCTCAGTCTCCTCAGTTCCCCGTGTCCGTGTTTCCCCGGCGTCCGCCTCTTCCTCACCTCCACTCCCTCAACCCCTTTTCCCCTTCAATAAAGCCTGTTCTTCCTGAGTCTTGCGTTTGGGTCCACTCTGTCCCCACATCACAACAGATCTTTCATATACCATTTATTATTATTATTATTTATAGACACTGAACTGTTATTTTGTTGGTTTCTGATATGTTTATTTCAGCATACACCCCAATGGTACACCTACAAACAGGTCATTTAAGCTCACTACTATGGTGGCAAAGATGTTTTGTGCAGTGCCTGACAAACTGTCATCTTGGCGTCCCTGTTTTATTGACCATAATAAACTGCCAGCTGCTCCATGTGTGTAATTTGAAGGTAAAACGCCTTTTTCACAGCTAGGTTTTAGCCTCATGGTTCCATAAATGAATCCATTTTAGCAGCATTAATGTCATATTTCTCAAACCTTTTCCTACCATGTTCTTCCATACAGATGTAAATTGTAAAAACAGTGTGACAGGTGGTCTTTCAGAGTAATGTGGTGATCATTGTTTAGCTTTTACCATACAAGAGATTTTATTTTCAAAAGTATTTAATAAACTGAGTACTACTTATGAACAATTATGCATATACTGTATCAGTGTGTGATCCTTTAATGTATAGTACTCTACACACCATAATCACATGGCAACAAATCATAATCTTCAAGCAAGGACAGATAATCTAAATTCTGTTCATTAAATCATACTTTGTTTCAATACGGTAGATATTTATGTGTATATTCACTTCAACACCGCAGGAGAGTGTAGATTTTAAAAAAAGAATCCAGCTTCCCGGTCGTCTTCGTTGGAGGTGTGTGCACTGAAATACAAAGATACATGTAAATGCATCATCTCTGATTGCTATTCATACGTACACATACACTCAGACAGCAGGGGTGTGCTGTCTGTGTTTACCTGGCTCTTTTCTTTTTTTGAAATGCAACCAGTAATTCCTGAGGGAGAGTCTGGCCTCTCTATCACTTCTTTCCTCCCACTGTTGAATGCTGAATTGTATCTTGTAAGAGGAAAACATGTATGCCCGAGGGGAACTTTTCTAGCATTGCGATGAATTGATGATCTAGCCCCCCGATGCTATCTGTATAATGGAGGTTGCCCATTTGATAACCCCGAACAGCCCAGCTGCACTTGACCCTTTATTCGTGGAATAGGTTTGTGAATAAGCACACTTCTAAGGGCCTATCCTCAGAGCTGTTTTGCATTAGGCCTTCAACAACTTAATAAATCTGACTGTACCTCTATTGAGGCATTTTGAAAAACAGCCTGGCGGTCCTGAGGGAGCTGGCTCCAACAAAGCTTTGAATTAATAACTTCACCCTGTGTACCATCTATCTATCCCTCAGCTCACTGTTTTTATTTTTTTTTATTTCCGTTTCTCTGTGCCCGATTCACAGCTTTGAAAAAGCGGAAAGTGCCCCAGAGGAGAGGGGATGGAAGCAGGGATTTTATAATCTTGCCTCTGGTGCTGTGTCTGTGGGAAGCTGCCTACTTGATTATGCCAGAGATGCACCTGCTCTTAACCTCATTTCCTTTTAACATCTGTCTAAGGGTTTTAAGTTAACTACACAATCATGTGTGATTATGGTCCCCTTTGCACCTGGCAATGCAGTCCCACGGCAGATAAAAGACACAGTTCACGTGTGACAGATACTGTCAGTGTGTCCTGGCTTCTGAAGCCAGTTACGAATTCCTGAGGGAGGCTGTGGGAGGAGAGCAAACCTTGGTGCTGTCTCTGTGATAACAGTGGCTCTCTGGATAACCCAAACAGTCTAATGGGGTTTCTCGGTCCCAGTGAACATTGTTCTAGATGGAGTTTTTCTTGTATGAATACAGGAATACTTGCTCTTAAGCACCTTTAATGTAAAAGCCCAAGTGGGACAGTTTTACTGTGACATCCCAATGTCATGTCTGACACAGAAGCTCCTATGCCTATGTCAATTTTGCATAGTGTAATAACTGAAATACCAATTACATCTGCAGCAAACTCTCCTTAATTAATGGGGTGTTTCAAAGTTTTGCGCATTCTTTCAGAGCAGAAGCCAACAAGGAAAAATTTAAAATGTCATCAAGTACGCTGTGATGAATTTAACTCCTTTGAAGTTCTCACTCTTAAAGTTGGAGGGCTGCAACCTATCATCATATTTGTTACAATTTATCGCCCCCCAAAACCGCCTGGAGGATTTTTATCAGAACTTCCTGAATTTTTATCTACTCTGGTTTTAAATTATGACAGAATTGTTCTTTGTGGCAAATTTTAATATTCATGTTGATGACCCCAACAATGTTAATGAGACTGACTTTTTAAATATGGCCACTTCTTTTAACTTCAAACAACATGTCAAAGGGCAAACACATAACCGTGGTCATACCACTGGACTTGGTTTTTACCCTGGGTGTCAGCATTTCCTCTGTGGAATTAGTGGACATGACCATATCTGACCACAGATGTATTGTTTTTAGCTGCGATTCGCCTGTTTCTCATGCCGCCTCACCAAGCTCCGTGTGTTCTCGCATCTTTAATGAACAAAGTGTTTCAAAGTTCTGCACATTCAGAGCCAAAGCCAACACCTGTCTGATTCCAACAGCAACAATCTGGTCGATCACTTCAATCATATCTGCTTGTCGTCACTAAATATTACTGCTCCTCTAAAGGTTAGGCCTACGTCTAAAGCTAGTAAGCAACCCTGGATAAATAACAGCATTCGCAGCCTAAAAAGGGAATGTAGGAAAGCAGAGCGCAGATGGAAAAAATCCAGTCTCCAAGTCCTTACTTAGTCTGAAGGATTTATTAATTAACTACAATAACATGGTTAAGGATGCGAGAACACACTATTTTTCTGAACTCATTACTACACATAAACACAATCCCAGGTTTCTGTTTAAGACTGTGGATCAGCTGGTAAACCCAACCCCTCCTTGTGCCTCAGCTGGAAGTAATGATGACTGTGAATTGTTTTTATCTTATTTTACCAATAAGTTGGTGTCAATCAGAGCCTCTATTACCCCCGCGGCCTCTTACTCAGAGGTTCCTCACCAGCAACAAGAGAGTTTTAACCAATTTTATCCCATCGACTTGTCTGAGCTTTTAAAAACAGTAACACAAATGAGAGTGTCCTCCAGCCCACTTGATGTAATACCTACAAATTTTTTACTGAAAGTAATGGATTCTGTTGGGCCCCATTTGATCTCTGTTTTCAACAGCTCCCTATCTACTGGTTGTGTCCCTGATTATTTTAAAACGGCTTGCGTGAACCCACTTTTAAAGAAACCTGGTTTAGATCCCTCCCTCCCACTTAATTTTAGACCAATTTCAAAACTGCCTTTTATTGCAAATATTCTAGAAAGAATTGTGTCCAAACAGCTGCTCACTGTACTGGAAAATAACAAAATATTTGAAAAGTTTCAGTCTGGTTTCAGGAAGTACCACAGCACTGAGACTGCCCTGCTTAAAGTCACCAATGACCTTTTAATGTCTGCTGATGAAGGTATGTGCTCAGTCCTGGTACTCCTGGACCTTAGCGCTGCTTTTGACACCATTGATCACAACATCATGTTAGACAGACTGAGGCACTGGGTGGGGATCTCTGGTACTGCCCTAGAATGGTTTTCATCCTACCTGTCAAATAGGAAGTTTTGCATGTCTGTAAACAACTATGTCTCTTCGTTCTGTCCAGTTAAATATGGTGTGCCTCAGGGGTCGGTCTTAGGACCCATTTTGTTTTCCTTGTATCTGCTTCCCCTTGGACATATTATCCATAAACATGGCATTTCTTCAGATCCACAGACCCTGGAATACTGAGTTCACTTAACAACTGCCTTTGTGAAGTTAAAAAATGGATGTCAAATAATTTCCTCCAGCTGAACTCAAAACAGAAATCCTGGTCATCGGGTCCCAGCAGATGGCATCTGTAAATCACATTAAGCCTGTGGCAAAGAACCTCGGTGTTTGGTTTGATAGTAATTTAACTTTCGAGGAGCACACCACAAAACTTGTTCAATTATGTTTTTATCAACTTAGATCAAATTTTAGCTATATTTCTATGTTAACTTTTAAGGACACCGAGACCATTTTACACGCCTTCATCTCATCACGCCTGGATTACTGCAACAGCCTTTTCACTTGTTTAACCCAAAAACTACTGATCAACTCCAGACTGTCCAGAACTCAGCTGCCAGGCTTTTAACCAGAAAAAAGAAGTATGACCACACCACCCCTATTTTAGCTTCATTATACTGGCTCCCAGTATGTTTTAGAATCGACTTTAAAATTTAATTGATCACTTTTAAAGCTCTTCATGGCCTCTTGCCTTGTTATATTTCTGAACTTTTAGTCCCATACACACCAGCAGATCCTCGGGCAGAGGTCTGTTGTCTGTTCCAGAGTCTCGACTGAAAACTAAAGGGGACAGAGCGTTTGCTGTCAGGGCCCCGAGGCTCTGGAACAGCCTGCCCGAGGAAATCAGGTCGGCTGAGTCAGTGAACTCTTTTAAGTCCCTTCTTAAAACATACTTTTATAGGAGAGCTTTTCCCGATCTTATTTGACTTTATTTTATCCCTTTTATTTTATTGTATTTTACTAATTTATATTTATCTGTATATAGTCTTTTCAATGTTTTCATGCTTTTATCTTTTATTGTTTTTTGTATTATTGTCTTTACACTTGTTAAAGCACTTTGTAACTTGTTTTTGAAAAGTGCTCTACAAATAAGGATTATTATTGTTATTATTATTATTATTAATTAGCCTGTTCAGTTATGTTATGGATGTGGTTTGCTACATAGATATTTTATATTGCCCAACAAGTGAAAAAAACAATAATTTTTTTAATAAAAACATATTTGAGCATTTGAAATTTCTCTCAGTCTGTATATCTATATACTGTATCTCTATCTATCAATCTGTATATATAAAATATTTTATAATGCAACAAGACAGTGTGTGTGGGAGATTTGTTTGTGATATTTCACATATGAGTAAATTATCAATTCAATTCAAATTAGCTTTATTGGCATGAATGTGGAACAACAATATTGCCAAAGCAT